ATATATATTTATATATATATTTATATATATATTTGTCATAGGTCTATAAGATCCATCTGTTCCTCCTACCCTAAGGAATGGCTAATGTCATCACTTCGTTGTCATCAGGACGTTTGCTGGTTTTGTTAGTAGGGCAGCCGAGCTTCCCCATTCAATATCCAGTAATTATAAACACTAGCTGACTTGAATACCAACAAAAACGTTCATGTAGTTTTCTTCAGAAGTACACTTTTTCATTATTGCAAGTTTACAATTTTTTTAAATTAAATATTTTTTCAGACTTACAAATTAATTATATTTTTTTTCCAAAAGAAGTTTAGGCACAAATGCATTGTTCCACAGTGTGGAAAGATTGCCATTCAGTCTCTGGGCTGCGTCTCAGCCTGTACATACTGCTTTGCACATTCTGAATGATATGTTAAAGAAAGTCGTCCCTCAAGTTGCACTTTTTTCTTTCTTTTTTTTTGTTTGTTTTTCTGTTTTTTGATAATTGGGAATGCTGAAACCTCTTGCGTCTGCGATTCATAACTACTCAGACTTGTCTTATATTACAAAAAAGGGGTTAAGGAGAAGTGTTTATGTGGGTTTAAGATAATACAGCTGTTAAGGAAGTGGTCTCTTGTTTTAATGAAGCAATGTGGCAACTTGGACCTGAGAAAAGAAAAAGAGGAGAGAATTAATTAGTATCTTCGATGAAGAGGAAGTGCTTAAAAAAAAAAACCCTGTAGGTCTGGGGATTTAGCTCAGTGGTGCCACTGCCTGCCTCGCAAGTGCAAGGTCCTGAGTTCGATCCCTGATACAAAAAAAAATTTAAAAATAAAGAAAACATTATGGGGTGGGAGATTTAGCTCAGTGGTGTTGCCACCTGCCTCGCAGGCACAAGGTCCTGAGTTCGATCCCCTGTACCAAAAAAACCCAAAACAAAAACCCTCTTTTTCCAAGAAAGAAAAATATCTGTTCACTGGGTCAAAGCCAGCTTCCTGGCTGTGGTGCAGGTGAGAGGGTTGCGTGATGAGCTCCGAAATGGTGGAAAGCGGACTTGCCCTTTCACATCTGTCCCATGTGATTTGATGTGTCTCCCATTCCGGGGTGTGGGCCAGCCAAGGAAAGCGGGGGAGGCTCCGAGGACACCTTCTCTTCCTCCCTTCTTTTTAGACAGGCTGCTTTTGGATTCAGATTTCTTTCTGTGGAAGATGAGAGCACGGGCGCTTTGTTAATGCTGAGGTTTCTGGTAAAGGTTTGCTCTCCCCTCCTCTTCTGCTTCTCCCACCCCCGGACTCAGCTTTGGTTACAGTTAGGAAATGTGCACGACGGTGATTCACTTGGTTGGTCACCAGGAAAAGCTGAACTGCACAGAGAATTTGTACCATTTTACAGTTTAAAAAATGTTGGTGAAGCAAGGAAACTAAGCTCTGATTACTGACAATACGAACGAAACGCTAGGTATAAGAGAACCCTATAACTTAGTTATCAGACAAGGGACTGCTGCTTAAGGATTTGGACATGGTTGCATTATTCTGAGGGTGCTAAGGCTCGGCTGTCTGCTGCTGCTCGAGGCTGAGTGCTGCTCTCAGCTCACTGACCTCGGACTTGCTGCTCCAGGCTGAGGATGACAGCCACAGCCTGGTGGAGGATCAGGAGCTTGGTCTGGGGCTTGTCACTTTTGAGGTGGAGCTGCACCATGCGCCCAAGCTCCTTGAAAGCCTCGTTGATGTCTCGGACCCGCAGGCGCTCACGGGCATTGTTGGCCATCCTCCGCTCCTTCTCGCGCTCTGCCTTCTGCTCCGGCGTCAGGTCCTCATCATCGTTATTGCTGTGGGACAAAAGGGATGCGACATTTTTTTATGGTGTGGGGAAGAGGGAGGTACCTAAATTACTTTTTGTTTTTCTAGAGTTGTCATGGAACTTTCCCATTTCAATCTGTGTCCTTGGCAGAATTTTATATCCACTTGACCTTGGGACTGGTTTGGATGGCTGTGAATACACAATACATTTAGTTTTTCAAATGATGCATTAAACCCAAATTGAATAAAAGGGGATGATCTGGCATAAAGTGAGGGCCCACAAAGTGTGCCCACTGTGACGTGAGGTACAAAATGGAGAATCAGGGCTTTACAGACAAAGTTATATTCTGTAAAGCAAGCCTCCACCTACTTATGTCTTAGCTCATGCAGCACGATCACACTTCAGAAAGATTGTTTATATATAATCTTTTTTAAAAAAATGTTGACATCTAAAACCCAGGGAAAATAAGGGATTGAAAAGAGATTTTGATAGGTAAAGCAAATACACGGCAAGGTAACAAGACTAAGAAAGTCCTGTACTGAAGACACCAATGCGATGGGAGCGAAGACAGTAGGCCTTTGTCCTAGGTGCCCCATTCCTAGCTCTGAAGGTCTTGAAAATTCACTAACCCTACCCGACCCTCATTTTCTTCATGTATAGAATAAAAAGTTGGCAAAATATCACTTTCAGCCTTTAGCATGGATGTTTATGACCTGAAGTAACTTGGAGAAACCTGAATTGACATTGACATGTAAAACAATACAAATCCAACATCTACTCATTATAAATCGCCATGACCTCACTGTAAATCACAAATGAAGCCAAACGGGAGTCTCTGATGACTCAATATTTAGGCATGATTAGGGCAGTATGGACTGGAAAGATAAGATAGCTTCTAACCATTTCTGGGTGTCATTGTGACCAATCAGAAACTTTTAAATGGAAGACAAATAGGATGATGAGCCATCTGGAAAGGATATTATCTTGACAAGGTTTCATGGCAGAAGGGCGTAAAATATTTCCAGTGCTATCATGTAGAAAGGAGAGGTTTGGAGACATCTGGGCTCAAGAAGACAGAACAAGGTAACACCAGATAACCAACATGAACTATCATGAGCAAGAATTTTATCTGGATCTGAGAGACATAAAAATGAAGTAAATGTCACTGAAAAGCAACCACTCCCTAGTATAAGAAATAATATCAAGGTGACCATTAGTCTAGAGACATGGACTGAGCTACAGGACCATGAAGCTTAGACACTCCCTTATTTTCCCTGAGTTGGAAATATCCACAGAACAAAGATGATTAATTACACTTAGGAGTTGGAAGACAATGGAATGTTATCTGGTCAATTCAACCTACACATAATCAATCCTGGCTTAAAAGGTATAGCTCCAGTCTTCCATTCTGGATAATCCTTGAGTAACCTCCAAATTACAAAAAGGACCAACTACTCCAGAGAAGCTCTAATCAATCAACAGTGAGAGTAGTGTTTTTGGGTTGCAAGTACGTGTGGCACATGATATATGAAGGCCAAGAACACTTAAGCGAAGAGGGAAATTGAGAGGGAGGAGGAAGATATTAAGGGAAGATGATGACAGGCTGGACTCCTCCTCCATAGGTTCAGCTCCTTTCCAGATGGCCCAGTCTCTCACAGTGTGTGCTGGGGAACACACAGCTCAATCAAGCTAACTGGAGAGGGCTCTTTCTCTGCTTTCTGGTCCTCTTCACTTCTCTGCTGATCCTTCCTCTCTCCTCACCCATGACTTCAGCTGATGCCTGGGAAATTCGGGTTACTATTAATTCATTCCTGCATCCACTATGCTCACCGGTACTAGGCTACGATAAGGAGAAGGAAACAGATTTGAGTTTTCACTGGGCCCATCCTAAAGCTAAAAATTTGGCAGTAGCTTTATACATCAAACATGTGTTATATCTTCCACAGGAGGGACTTGAAAATGGGAACTTATTTTCCAATGGTTTTCAGGCTAATGACTGACTGGAATTGGTTATTCACTTATAAATAAGTTAGTTACGCAAATAAATGCTATAGATTTGAAAAATATTGTTTTACAACACAGTGTTGGAAGCATATGTACATAAACATCACAAGAGTGACCTTTTAAAAGGTTTTCAATGGCAAGTTAAAACGTTGTTCTGAAACTTCAAAGCATCTATTAATATGTATAAGTTTTGGCCACATAGTTAAGTTCCCAAGAACGGACTTAGACTAACAGTGAAGCTGTTAAGGATGTGAAATCCCAGCCCAGGGACTTCTTGCTAATGTGGCCAAGAGTCAAGAAGGGAAGTAAGCCAGATGCATTTAGCATTTCTGGAACTTGTAGCAGTATATGTAATTTGTCCCAATAATTACAAAATTAACATGAAAAGATACTGTGTTCTTAATTCATAAAAGATACTAGACATCATCTTGAGAACCACAACCTTAAAAAAGATGCTGTTTGTACTCTTAGTACAGCTGGCTTAATCTGCAAATAGGAACAACCCCGAAGTACATGTGTATTATGTACATGGGGCATTCAAAAACTGATTACCAGAATAAAGAGACAATCCTAATTTAAAGGTATCACATACTTAAGAAGACCAAAGAAAACTATTTTTCTGCAGTTTTTTATAGAAAGAACTATCAGAGAGAAAAAATTAGCAATTAAGGTTATTACTTTTGTATACATCAACATTTTAGGATACAACTGGCAAATTAGTATTTTCCCTTTAAAAGTAAGAACAAAATAAAAGTTGCATGTATATATCAACTGACATTTTAACATGGCTAAAATCTCTTTGGAAATATTTTAGGAAGAACATTTCTGACCAAATTTGCAGAATATAGTTTTTTAAATGAACCATTTTCACTTAAATCAGTTACAAATTGTTTTTACTGTGTGCAAATAGTATTGGGTCCAAATTCATAAATGCAAAGACATTTTAGGCTTCACTAGAGTACAGGTATCTTAAGCGATACTTGTAGTACTTCTAGAGGCCTTTTTCATCTGTAGAATTACCTGCCAGGAAAAAACTGAGTAGTTTCTTCCTGTTCTGTTCACTTCATCAAAGTCCAATAAAGGAATTAAATGAAGCGACAGTATTATATACTGTTACCTAGATCTTGACCTAGTAATTGATTTGATATCCTTCTTGTCGTCATCTAATTTCTTGTCCTCGGAAGATTTCGTGTCTTGCAGGTTCTCGTCGCCTTCATCATCGGATTTTATCTCAGAGCTGCCAGAGGAGACACTCTGCCCCTGTAGTCCTGGTGGCATGCCTACAGGGTGGGGGTGGGGGGAAGAGATGGAGAAGAAGGGGAGGAGGAGGAGGAGGAGGAGAGAAAGAGACCAGGTTACATGTACATCAAAACTTTATGCACAAACACACGTACTTCAGATTGCAAGGCTGCCAGCTAGACAATTCATTCTGCTCAACTGTGATCCTTCTGTCACTTTTTTCCTGCTATCTGGTGAAGTTTCAAAAATGCACCTGCGGAAACAAGTTTTCCCTGCATTGGCTCTGAGGTTAAATTCTATTTTGCAATCTTTTGGAGTAGATGGTAATTTCACTGTCTACAAAACATCAACTTAATTGCAATGAAAATCATAATCATGAAAATCACACACCTCAATGTTCTGATTAAGAACCCAAGTAAATATCAGCTATTATATTGAGTTTCTTCCATATGCAATGATTTAATAGAAAAATATCCTTAAAATATAATTCCCAGGGAGTAGGCTAAATATGTGCAGTCAAGACTTCAATAGATACCCAAATGATATCCTGAAATTAGGCTTCTCTTATCCTCAAGGAGTAATCAGCATTTAAAAATGTACATATGTAAGGCAGTTCACTGCTTACTGAAGATATTTCTAGCTTTATCACTGCTCAACTTTCCAAGATCACATTACATTTTAAAACATGGTCTTAATGTAATCTATATCTCAGGTAGATACATTTCTATAATGTGTTCCCTTCTACTTGTAATCTGCACATTCTAGAGCTTTGTCACACAATTTAGTCCATGGGCCCAAAGCTTTCTTGTCACCTGGAAGCCATTAGAAATGCCTAATCCCACATCTAATGAATCATAATCTATATTATTAACAAGATCCTCAGGTCATGTTTATCATATTTGCAGTTTAAGAAGCACAGAACTAAGGCAAAACCAAAAGAGCAAAAACCAAAGGCTCTTTAAAAGAGAGGTCCACCAATTATTATCAGCTAAATGAAAACGAAGAGCTGTACCAATATATGCAATGTAACTAACACTCAGATATGTACAGAGGTTGAAAAGATGCCTGTGTGAATTCTCAAGGCAGTGGGGTCCTGTTTGTTTTAAATGTTAAGGAAATGAGAAGACGCTATGTAAGTGACCACCAGCCAGTAGCATAGGGTGGCTGGATCCAAGTCTGGCCTATGGAGTCAACTTCCTGGAGACATGAAAAGCCCCTGCAGTGAGAGGTTGGGAGCCATTGTTATAAGGCTAGATGACTTAACTGCAAAAACCATGCAACCAAGTTCCATTTTTTAAATGCACCTACATTTCCTTCCATTTTAAACAACAAAAACAATTTCCTTCCTTCCTATTCGTTTGGAAATATAATTTTCAGACCACAAATAACCACATTAGAGGACCTGAATGAGTAAAATGTGGAAATAGCTAAAATAAAATTTCCTCTCATCAGTCTGTTGTCTCATTCCCTACTGAAATGGGATCAGGATTTCAGAGAATATTTGAGGAAAACAGTTACTGAAGAAACACAATTAGTAGGGTAAGTTCTAGCTACGTTCTCATTTACTTGCCATTTTTGTACCAAATTTGATTCTTGGTTCTCTGCCGCTGCTTCCTGAGGTCTGACAGCCAAGGCTGCTCAGCATCCTCTCTGGATGTACTGCTAACATGAGGTCAGAAGAGCCCTTCTGAGGGGCACTTACCTCTGTAAGGGTCCTGGGGTGGATTTAAGTCAGGGGAAGTTGCAGATTGGACAGGAAGCTGTGGAACTGGAACCTGGTTTGGCAGGAGAGAATGGCTGCCTCTCAAGGTCACGCCGTCTTCACGATGGGCCCCAACCTGAAGGGATGACAGGAACCATAGTGCTTAGTGCGAGCAGGAGGTGCAACAGCTATTTCCAGGGGGCAGCAAGGCCCTGATGCAGGACTGGAAAAGCAATCCTCACAAATGTGATTCACTAGAGGGCGCTGGAGGACCACACAAGTACCTACAGTGCTCTGCAAAAACACTTAACGCTCAGTAAGATGCTGTGCTGTACATCCAGTGACAAATATGGCAGAGTAGCTCAGGCAGGTAAAACGTCAAATTGTCTCCCAGGGTGCTGCAGTGGAGCGCACTGATTCGTACCCATCTGTCTTCTATCATGTCCGCCAACATATCTGACAATTATCTTAATGCCCATATGCTTAATTGTGGGCTTCTCAATTCCCCCATTGCTATCGGAAATCCTACAGGAATTTCAATTTGGCATTCGACTTTCATTTCAGGGGATAAGATTCTCAGGCCTGCCATTTTTTTTTTCCATAATGCCAGCTAAATAAGCCTCTGACAGTGGAAGCTACAGCAGTATGGGACATAGCCCCTGCTCGGTACAAATATAATAAAATGTCACCTGGCTTTCCAAAACCGGCAGCCCATTCCAAATTAATGTTTACTGTATTTCATCAGCTGCTGAGTTCCAAATCCAAAGGGGGACCAATTCTGCCAATGCCACCACACCGGAAAATGTACCAATAAAGGTTTTATTAAACACACCAGTAATGCCATCACTGCCACACAAGGATGTTTAGACATTTTTCCATTTTTTTCACTACTCTCACCCTAGAAAGATACCATATTGTAAACACTCTTTATGCTTCCAAGAATAAAATTATGGAGTACAGCATAATTACTTGATTTGAAAAAAAGGCTGAGCTTTTTTATTAACTACTACTACCTATGCTGGGTCCAGAGATGAACTTGTGGCTCTGTGACAGTATTTGTTGACTTTATGGCATATGCCTTAAAACAAAATTATTAAGCATTTGTAAACCAAGAGGAACGTGAGCAGCTCACATCGCCTTTGTATTTGCAAGTAGTTATTTTCTTAGCCTATTGTTAAGTGAGTAGTTATGCCAGACAATGGGTCTCACCCTGAAGAATATTAACCTGTGAATTTACACTGCTATGAATGAAGGTTTTTCTCCTCATCCAAAGGTGTAAACTCACAAAGTGCAGTTTTCATTCTCTTGCCACCAAAATGTTTTAAACAAGTATTTCCAAAGAATGCAATGATAGCAACTGAATCAACAACAATCAAATTCACAGGATCAAAGCTATTTAAAGGTAGCCAGGTATTAAGTATCACTTTTAGTGCATATGTACTCCTAAACGACACAAAAGAAAATAATTTTGGGCAAGAGAAGGGTCAGAAAGCAGTTCATATAAGTCATACTAACTGTTCAGATTTAAAACCTAGCAAGAGTCATAAATGGCTTTAAGGCCTGTAAATACTGGGAAGCTCTGGCTGAGACGTCTGGGTCGTTGGGTTACAGCAGAACTTTATAAATGGTGGCTATGTAGCCTCCATATGTACAGAGATGCTGGTTACCTCTCATTCCATTTCTGACCACAAACTGGCTTCTTGGTAGGCTCCAGTCAATCGGACTTACTTCAGCTCTGGAGCTTCATGAGGTCAAGCATTAAGCCCTTCCCCTTGTCAGCCTTGCTGCCACACCAGGCCGTCTTCCCTCTGTAACTCAAGCCTGCTCTCTCAAACCATCCCACACCCACCTTGCCCCTTCCCTTCACCATGTCTCACTCTTTCCATACGTGTGTTCCCATACAAGAATGTGATAGTGATTTTCCATGAAGATTTTGGTTTGCTGTTTTTACAGTTATGCAATTTAAGATTCAACTGATTTCTCTTTCAATCTAAGATCTCAAGTTATAAGGATGAATTTTTACAGTCTTTGATCAAATAGTAGCGCTGACAACTAACTGCCTTAGTGCCAATTCATATTTGTTGGTACTCCCAGCGGATTTTATTTCTTGAATTTCCACAAAGGATGATTTTTAAGTTATAATCACAGATTTGATCTTAATGGACATGTATGTGTCTTCTACAGCAGAATTACTCTATGAATGTTCTCAAGCTTTCTTTATACTCATCTGTGCTATTACTTAGGCTTGTTTTTTTTTTTTTAAATTTAAAATGTATTTAGTTACTGACCCTAAAACTATCTTTTCTCTATATGGCATTTAGGTAAGTTTTCCAAAGAGGAAAAAAGAACCCACAACCAATTATTTTATCTCAATTGATATGAAAATCAGAATAACTAATAGTGAAAGCCAACTATGTTTAGGTTCTCATTGTGGCTGGTTTCTTAGCTGCATGACTGAAAGTTGTTCAAATACAAAATGAAAAAAATAACACTAAAAGTTATAGAGAATAAATCCCAGGTTTATGATAAAGAACATCAATGGTATGTGCAAAACAACTAGTACATAACAGTTACACAAGTGCTGGGCATAGTAGTATGTTTTAACTGAAAGTACTTGCATATTACATAAAACTAATAGTCCGTGAACCTGAAGAATCTTGGAACTCAAGCTATCTTCACTTATGGTCATCTTTGTGCTCATGGTTTCTATGTTGTTCAGATCTATTTGATTTTAAATCTCTTTCCTGAAAAAAGACAGTAAAATCTTAAAAACGTATTTGAGAACTACATTTCTGTTGGGATTTTACTTAACTTGGTCTATAGTCTACAGATCATCTTAGATTGTCTCAAACAGTATTAATCATTTTTTCATAAAGGAAGGTGGAAACAAAGTTATCTTGCTGTTTTAAGGTCTCCCTTTTGACTAGATACTTCAGATCACAGGAATACCTCTGATAAGTCCAGGTTCATGTAGTACTGAGTTTAATTCTCTAGGATCAATTCCATCGCCTGTTGCTGTGGCAGAGTATTTCAATTTGAGGAGATAGCTTTGTTTGCTGGTTTCCTTGGCTGCAGACTGCATGTTCTAACCCTATTTATTTATTTTTCTTTTGGAAACAATATTTTTGTTCACATATAAGATAAGAAAGGCTATGAGTAATCTGTACAAATCCATCATTTGAATAACTCCAAAAGAGACACAGGAACCAATACTGCTGTGTATATATTCAAGGGCTAATGATGTGTTCACTTTTCATTTAATAAATATATAATGTAAACAGGAAAAACTAAATTTGTTCAACATACAAATCAATTATAAGGATGAAGTTTGGTGTGAATTTTTAGAAAATGCATATTTCAGTAAAGCCTTATTTTGATAAATTTTTCATTTATATAACAATAAAGTTCAAGGCCAGCTTATGAAAATTTAATTTTATTAATACTTGGTGCAAATGTTTCTGGAATTTTTAAGTCTTCTGATAGACATATACAGTATAACAGAGCTCCAGATATGTTAAAAGCAAAAGATATAAGTAAAAATTTAAATAATTATCAATTGACTAGAAAGCATATTTATTTGTTTGTTTGTTTTTGGTACCGGGGATCGAACTCTGGACCTTGCGCTTATGAGGCAGGCACCAGAACCACTGAGCTAAATCCCCGGCCCATAGAAAGTATATTTAAAAATCAACAAACAATTTCTACTCTACTCCATGTCTGTCGCTTTTCTGATGTGCCAAAGACAGAGTGATGAATAACAGATGTGGTCCCTGTCCTCACAGAGCTTATAACGATCCTTTGGGATTTTAGGAATTCATCAATTTAGTGTAATCATTTTAGCAGTAAGGAAGAGAGACCTATGTGGGCTTACCTAAGTCAAAAGAAATTCACTGTAAAGGTTGTGGTAATTGTACCCCGAGATCTCTGGAGACCTAAGGCCACCCATGCCTTTTATGGGTTGCTCCGCTTTCTCTCACCTCCAGCTACTTCTGCCTCTCTGTGGCATTTGCCACTCTTCATTCAGCCTGGCCTCTTGCTTCCTTCATAGTCTCTCTTGGTATATTCTTTCAGGATTTGTACCTGCCACTAACTCCCTCTGGGTCTTACTTAGTATTTCTTAGACAGGATCATCTGATGCCTAGGTCATCATTTTGTCCTATGAATAAACCATCCCAGGATCAGGTGTTTTTTGATCCAATGAGCTACATAAAGACAAGAAGATTGCATAGCCCAGTTGTGGCTACCTCAGCCTGCTCCTTTTGTAGACCTGGTAAATCATGGCTGAGAAATGTATGTGCAAATATCTAAGCTACATTGTATCTTAGGTCAAGTTATATTCAAACGTTGACACAGCTATTTAAATTTGCTCATATGAATTTAGCTCTGAGAATAAATACCTTTAGCTATGTATTACTTCTTTTGAATCATATAAATACCATATAATTTTAAATAATCATACTTTCCAAGAAAAGAATTAATATATTAAAAGCTTTTAAAATCACAGAACATAAACTTTAAGGGCTTGGAGGGACTTGGAAATTGGGCCAAACTCTATTTTACAAAGAAGGATATGGGTGAGAATGGTCAATATCTAGCTAGAGAATTAAAACATTTTGAACTCAGAAAAGCTGTAACATTGAACAGTTTGATTGGGAATATATACATATATATATTTATTTTTTCATATGTGTGTGTGTGTGTGTGTGTGCGCGCGCATGTGCATGTGAACGAAGCAGAATTAAGGGCAAAAAAGGAACTTACTGCTTAGAGCTTTGGTTTTTAAACTGTGTACATATGGCACACATGTATGCCCATACACAAATCTATTACATGCATACATACATACCCACATATAGATATGAAAATCATTTTAGTTTTGTTATAGGAAAGTATCATAGTTCACCAACTCAGGCCAAGGCCAAGATATCTAACTAAATTACAAAATTTAATATCTGCCACAACTCTTCCAACATAAACAGATTTAAAAGACATGCAGTTCCAAATTAGGTGGCTGTTGGCCAGGCTGTTTTTATATCGTGGATGGTGGATGCATAGAGCATCTTGGTAAATATCCTTGTCCTTATCCTCAAGCTAACAACAAACACCACAAACAAAAAAGACATTCAACGCTTTTGC